GTAAAAAAATACAATATACTTACCTGAAATAATTATTTTTTATACAGATTTCACTTAACATAATTTTCTTAGGAATTTATTTATATTTTATGTTATTATTTATTTTGAAATATTATTGAAAATTTGTATAACACTTGTGTTGTCTTTGTTCATTTTGATGCTCAACCATAGGGTATATTATTATTTAAAATGTGAGATGATTATTATATTCAAAAAATTATTTTGAAAATCATTAAAAATGTTATGTTTTTTATATTTTATTACCAATTTATAAAAATTTAACAAAATATATAAGCGAAAAACGCAATACTGTAAACCAATAAATCTATAATACAAAACATTTAAATTATTAAAAAATTCATAAAAAGTATTCATAAAATCTGAAATGCAGTAATACTATTACATAATTTAATATATTTTTATATATTTTACTACAAATAAACACAAAGGGTCAGCTGTTATTTAATTTAAGTAATATTTATAGTAAGGTTTAATTAAACTTATAATCAGTTAAGTTGTTTATTGTCATTATAAATCTATTTATTAAATATCATTTACTTAAAAACATATATATAAAGGTTTAAATTTGTGAAGACCTCGACTATTAGTAAATAGTTATTTTGCTTTTAGGTAAATGCACTATATCAAAAATTATCCAAAGACAAATATGGTATAAACTAGAATTATAGATTCATACCTGGATTCATTCATTTTAAGAACTAAAGAAAGATTTTTCAGAGATAGACAAAAAATAAACAAATCATTATAAATACAACTTGTGTGAAAGGTATGGGTGTTTTGATAAAAAATAATCATTAGTAAATATAATATTATGTAATTTTATAGTTCAAAATAAAAATTTACCATAAAATATCTTATGAATGTAGGATAAATAATTATTATACTCAAGTAGATATTATAAAGGGACAGTAAATAGGTAAAAATTTCTTCAATAAAATAAAGAATTTTTAGTTTTTGATGAATTAATTAATAATTAATATTATTTTATCTTAAAAGCAAATAATGTAATGAAAAAATGGTTTTAATTTCAAGAATAATTATTTTACACATATTAAATACTTTTTTTTAATTTTTAAGAATATAATTACTATGATAACAAATTGCCTTTGGCCACATCGTAAGGTCACTCATTACAGTATATAATCTATACAAGTTAATTTGTTCAATAGAATTATAAATTACGATTGATAGAGTAAAATGACTATTTGAGAATTTGACAGACATACTATCAAATAGATATGATTGTAGTTGTGTAAATATTTCATATTGATTAAATTTCTCAAAGTAGAGCATTACCATAAATTATTTTTGATATCCAGGCAATTAGTTATATGTTATAATATTATAATAACCAAGACTTGTATTTTTAATGCCATACATCATTTTATATCAATAGAAATTTCTTAAAAAGTATTCAATGTAAAAGTCACATATATATACTGTATACGTATTCAAAACTTATAGGTAATCATTTATCATATTTTTAACAATGATAAATGTGTTTAAGTCCCAATATTGTGAAATTAATAAGATATTTTATTTTATATAATGGGAACCTACTTGAGTACTTTTTTCATTTCATAATATTAACCACGCTGAGTATAACTAGATGCCTAAATAACATAATATTTAAATAAATAAATTTTATTATATCAGAGGCCGACAAGAAACTTTTATCGGAATCCAGAAGATTAAAATAATAAATAAATAAGGTCCAAGGAAAAAAATTGTATTTTATTATATTATTTATTAGTTATAAGTAAAATATTTAAAAAAAATTTATTTGATTTATCTAATTATAACCTGAGTTTGATAAATCAAATACTATATTAATTTTTCATAATGATCATTTAAAAATGTATAAGATACATATAAGATTTGTCAATGATTCAAATGTTTGTCCTATGCAGTCCGTATTTGGACTACTAACCTTTTGCAGACGATTGTATTATATAATGTAATTATTTTTCATGAATAACTTATAAATTAATTACACATTCTTTTAAGATAATTTCTTATTTAAAACAACAATAAGTACCAAACTAAATATTGAATAACAATTAATATTTATCATAACATATATTTATTGTATTATTTATATATTATACATACGACCAACAAAAAAATTAATTATGAATGTAACTGCGTGGTACTCATTGTAAAAATCAAATTTTTATTGGTCGTGCTAGATATAATATTTTTTGAGTATGTATTTAATTATTTAGGATAATACTCATATTCAAATAACTATAATCAATAAAACGTTTATTATTTTATATCCTATATACTGACTTCGGTACACAAGTAATAATAAAAAAAGTATGATACGTTTTTTTTTTTTTTAATTTGTCTTACTTCTTAATATATAAAACTACATGTACTGACTCAAGGCATAATATTTAGTAACTACATACCACAATTTATAATAATATAAATAATTGAAATACATTTATATCATATTAAAATAAACAATACTAGATGATTAACTAATATATAAATTAAGTTCAGGTCATACACAGAAAGTTTGATAAATTTAAAATAAATACTCCTTTTTGCCAAATAAATCTTATCTAACTGGGGATCAAAATATTTGATTCAATTTTAAGCCTAGTAAGTGTTACAGTAAAAATATAGATACATAATAGGATACATTAATTTAAATAGTAGATGTAGCTAGAAAAAAATAAAAATAAAATAATATTAATAACCCTTCTTTCTAAATTCTCTTCGCAAGGTTATTCTATTCCCCTCAATTTCCTCTAAAACTCCTATTCTACTAGTGTCATCTCCCTCATCATCAATTTTATTATCAATGTCAGCTTCCAAATTAATTCACGATATAACAACTAATTGTATATTGTATTATAATTGCAAGCTATAATATTATAGGACAAAAACAACAAATATTTTATTATAAAATTTATAAATGGATTCATATAAAAATTTGTCAAGTTTTTATTGTTGGTTTAAACAATGTAAAAAAAAAAAATAAAAAATAAATACTATTTAGTTAATTTGTTAAAATAATTTAATTTCCAAGTAAAATAATATAAAAGTTAACACATAGTCACTTAAAATTACTCATTAGGTCCTGATTTTAAAATATCTTAATTTCATACAGTTTGATTTTTCATCAATTTTATCATTTTTTATGTCATTACCTTAATTTTATTGACAACACATTTATTTCATTACAAGAAAAAACTAATTCAATGCATTACAGATGTGGAAAAGAGTAGCAACACGTTGTAGGATATAAAATCTTTAATTTTATGATTTATAAGTTAGCAACACTAAATACATTTAAAATTAAACAAATAACAATTTTGTTATTATACATTAAGAGGTTGTAAAAGTTAAACAATTTAATTTGTGCATTTTATATAAGTACATTTAAAAACAATAATGTTAAGCATGACTTATAATTATAACATAGAACTGTCATAGTTATCTGATAAACCAATTAATTTAAATTTTAACATTTTAATATAGAATAATTTGAACTCTATTGATGGTATGCACAAATTAACAAATTTTATATTCATTCATTTACTTGTCTTTATTTTAAATATAAATTAATAGTGGTAAAATTGATTTAATAATTTTTAGATTTATATAGTGAAAACATTTGAGCAGTGTAACAGAAATTGAATAAATAGCTAAATTATAAACTTAAAAAAACATACCTAATAGATACATATGTTTTAAAATAGGTAGTTACAATATAGTAACTAGACAAACTTGATTTCAATTACTTTTCTGAACATTAAACATTATTTCATATATTTAATATGGAATAATAATAGTTATTTGAATAAAAATAATAAAACAATAAAATATTAAAGTTGAGCAAGGTATTAGCATACAATTGCATAGTTTTGATATAATATACAGAATGGTAGATATATATCAAAATTTGTATGCAGGGACGTAGGTAAGGAGAGATTTGGGGGTTTTCATAATCTTTACCTACACCCATGTATGAAGATATATGTGCATCATATTTTATTTTGTAAATTAAAAATAAATGAACCATTTAAAAAATTATTACTCATATGTATAACTGCTAATTAATCAGTTAAAAATAGAGTATTTAAATAATTCAATTGCTACTATTTTATATTAAAGCAATTATGCAGGCAGATATTAAAACTATCGTAGTCGCTAATTTAAAATTATTAAAGCAAAACATTTAAATTATCAACACCTAATGCTACAAATAAATATAATTTTATAATCTAGAATTTAATCTTATTATGATGAAATCACTTAATAATTTGATTATTGCATAAAATAATGATTAATCTATTATTTTAAGTTCTGTTAACATTTACAGAGAATTTGACACTTCAAAACTATCATTTAAATTATGAGTACCTGACACATCTATGCTGAATGTGATTAGTTAGATTATTGTTAATCAAAAGTCAAAGAGTCATAAGGAATCAGTTTCATTGATAATTTATTTAATACCCAATACAAGTTAAAAGTATAGTTATGATTATTTTATATTGGTGAGTTTTGCATTTTAAAATATGTTCATTTTCAATAAATATGTAACACAAAAGAATACAAAAATTTTTCACTTAAAGTTCAAGTATACAAAGTTTTTGAATTGAATTATAGCACTGTGTAGTAATATATCAATTTCATGATGATCAAACAAAGTATCAGAATGTTTGATAGTATTATTAATGTTGGAATTATAATGCATCCAGTTCAGTGTGTATACCTAGTTGAAAATCTTTAAATTAAATAGAATGATGGTTTAGAATTGGCAAAAAAGGTAATCATTACATTATTGTAAGTCAGTTAGTATTGAATGCAAATCTAGTAGATTGTTTCTATGGACCATTGGTCAAACAATAAAAACGTGCTCATAAATTGTGTAAACCCTACTAATTTGCAATGGTACTACCTTGGTACACCTCTAGCTATAGAGATAGAATTTTGAACAAGATTTTTCCAAAATAACTTACCTAGGCACACAGTTGGATGGAGTGCGGTCGACTTCCCAGGTAGCGAACAATTTCATCGGCACCGGTCGAGTGCCAGTAGTTGGCGTTTTGACACATTTTTCAGCCATAATTCCCTGCGACGGCGGCGACGCAAGAGAGGAAGTTAAGTGCTGAACAGCTTCAGCGTTGTCAGTCGCTGTTGGTTACACAGCGTCGTAGCATGAACGCGCGAATGCGCGGATGATGGGACGATGCTGCTAACAACGGACGTAGCGGCGCCACATCCGTTTAAAGAGCGGTGGCGACGAGCGAAGAATTATGTAATAAATAATAATTGCTGGACAATAAGAGAAAAAAACTGTTGAAAGATGTTAAAAAGCCGGACAATACGACGGGCGAGGGGAACGGACAAACGAAAATCGGAAAAATAGGTGCGATGCGTGATTCAAGAACAAAATAAAATTAATAAGACTGGCAGAGGTAGCGGCGACGACAGGAAACGACGGGCGACCAACAGCTAATCACGCCGCACACATAACAGCACGGGCCAACTCCCGCGTTATCAACAGTGCGCGGTGGCGGCGGTGGCGGCGGCGGCGTCGCGGCGGTGGTAGTGGTAACGGTGGTAGGCGCACGCACACGAGCTCGCGGTAGTGTGAACGTTTTATTAATCTCGGGCGGCGGCGGCGGAGGCGACCCGGTCGTATTGCTATTTGCTGCTGCAATGCCCGTGCGCACCGCCACCCGCCGCCACTGTTGCTAGTCTGGTGCACACCGCCACTCCGCTCCGTCGTAGCGAAAAACCGACGCACGTCATTGTCGCCGCCGCCACCAACCGACCTACGCACCGCTACCCACCCGCGTCCCGGACGGTATTGGAACCCTGCTGTCGCGCTCCGTGCGTTATTGGTAGGCGGCGGTGAGGGACGGCTTTGTCGACGTGCGCGCGCGGCGTGCAGGGGGTCTTATACGCTCCGCCAGTCGAGGGATTATCGAGGGAGAGGGCCGGGATGGAGAACGTTTGTACGCGTTTTATCCGAAACGACGACGCGGCCGAACGGACAAAGACAAGAGACGATAACGATATTAATAATAATAACAGTAATGACGTTCTTGAAAGAACGCGCGTTGTGTAGCGATGAGACCGTTACAGGAACCTACGGTCGGCCGCTGCGCAGTAATGGTGTATACGATATCTGGTACATCTCGTGTGGTATTTGCACGTATCGTTGTCATTGTCCGTTGCCGGTGTCGGTCCCGACGACTGAGTTGGGTCTCGAACTTTAGACGGTGACGCAGGGGCGGCTCCAGAGCCATAGTAAGGGGGGGGATTGTTATAATTTTACAAAATCTTATAACAAAAAGAAAACAACAATTTTTACAACACAAATTCAAGTCGTCTATTTTTAAAATTGGCAAAAATATCAATAATATGATATATTTGATCTAGAATATCTACTTTATGATATGCATTAATTAGACATAATGTTGATAGTCTATCATCAGTCATCATTGAACGAAGCCAGGTTTTTAGTCCCCGAAGTGTGGAGAAACTTCTTTCAACCGTCATAAATCTATGGCACTATATAAATACTTGTGCGTGTCGTATGAAGGTACATATTATAATATGCATTTTTTGTTAACAATATACATTTTTTTATAAATACGGTACGGGATTGGGAAGGGGCCACGTTACCTAGGGTCCTCTCCTGGAGCCGCTTCTGCGGTGACGATAGGTAAGCATCGCATAGTCGGAGTCCGACTTGGACGCAGCCGTATATGCAGGATTTTCGAAAACCATCCCGATCGCTTTGTCCGAGTGTGCCGTGTTCGGTGGTCGTCGTAGGGCTTGAATCTTTCGTCTATTACGCGTGAATGTACACAGTACCATCATGCAATCGATATTGTTATTATAAATACACAGGGAACGCCTTCAAAGAATCGAGCTGAAGCCACCGAAACGAAAAATGTAGACATGTCCTTGAGTTTGTGTACCCGCGAAAAACGAAATCATTCCGGTTAAAATTATTTAAAAAACAATAGACCATCGAGTTTTGGAGTGTTTGGTTTTGTTAATGTTCTGTTTCTACGATTTCCGTGAACCTGAAAGCTAAACAAACCGCATTCGATCAATTATTTCAATCGGAGGAGGTCTGGTCCGTGAAATACGTAAACAAATTTAACATCTATTTTAATGTATTTATCTTATCGAAAAATCGAAAATAACCTTTCTCTAGTACCATATGCCCGCGTTCTGCTCTCAATTTTCGACTTTTTATTTTTATTTCTGGAATAATGGTTTATATAAATATAACCCCATAGGGCTGGAAATTTTATTTTATTTTTTCAACATGACAAATCGAAATCAATTATTTGCACGTCATTAGTTATTTAACATGCGAGTAATAAATTGTTGGTAGAACAAATGTAGAACATAAACTTGAGGGATTTAAGGAAAATACCTCAAGTCCATTGCCAACATTTTACAAATTTTGTTGTTAACAAAGTGGAAATAAATTGTTTTCCACAATGTTGTTTTGGTCTTGACGCGCCTTATGAGGTCTCGGCGCAATGCCGGTAAATCTGATGACCGACACTATAGGATTAAATTTTGGTAAATTTTACTACCTACACGCGCGTAATACGAGTACATAAACCGAATATTATTTACACTTTAGACGAGTATAATATCTGCTTACGCGAACGGCCGCTCGGGTAGGATTTTCGAGATTACGTGACGTTTTTTACGACAGAGAGGAAATTAATAATAACACTGCATGACGGTACAAGTAAATAAGTAACACGGTATACACTACTGACTACTCATGCATAGCACGGGATATTTTCAGCTCGACGATTACGAACGAACCTACCATAAGCTGTATACCCATTTAGTTTCATATATTACAATATACCAACTATAATATAATAAACTATATTAATCGATAAATTTTTATATGAAACAATTTGAGAATACATTAGCTACAGAGGATTAAAATTGTTATACGTTATTATTTTAAAATTGTTCGCAAATCAATTAGTTGTATTGAATTGTAATGTTTTAAGTGCACAACAATAATATTTTATCATAACATTTCATTTACTCAAAAAATAAACCGTGGGACGTAATTCTGTATTTTTAATTCAACAAATTACAATAAAAAAATGAATAATGTTGTGTATCATATGAATAATTATAAAATTTTATTTTTTATGTATTTTCTTTGAAACCGTTTTTTGATTTTTTCAACATTACACCTGTGAAATTTTAAAACAGAAAAACCACTTATAAGTTTTATCGTATAATGTTGACGTATTATATTAACTATTCTATAATAATAATGCTGCACAATTTATTTTGAAAAATAATTTTCGCCTATCTTCTGAAATTATTTATTATTCTATAAATATATTATTTCAAATAAAATAAAATATACGAAATAATATTAGCTAAGTATATATCTTAGTAATAGTAAAGCTAAATAATCTTTCAATAAATAAATTATTAGTACATACTTGTAAATATTAATAAAATAAAAGCATTTTCATTACTTATCATCACTTATAATAGTATATACCAAGTTAATATACAATTTACATACTATTTCATTATTAGGCATCGTTGAATATTTTTTAAAAGAAAAATAATTTAACAATACATGTACTATAATTAATCATATTTTATAACTAGATTATAGGTATGTTAATACAAGCATTCTGTACTATAAGACAGTTAATTATTAGTTAACAACAATATATAGTTGGAAATACGTTAGCTTTATATATTTGCAAACCATTAGTTTAGTAAAAATTATTAATATTGCGGTACATTATAGTTGAAACTTTATTTAACTTGGTCAAATAATAGAATATTAAAATTAACTTAATTTTATGTTAAAGACGATCGAATATTGTATGTAGTAGTATAAGTAAGTTATAATCAAACATGACCTTTTGAGATAAATTAAATTTAAAGTCACAAGAAACTAATGTCCGTTTACATATCAATCAACATAAAATGTAATTATAATCGTGTATACTCTATCTAACTATAATAATTATATTAATTTTTCTTTTGATGTACATACTTTAATCAATTTAGAAATTCAAATATGAGGAACTTCAATAATTTTGAACGTAAAACGTACGTATTTACATAAAAGTGATTCTATGGAAAATTATAGCACAGCAGTCTATATTCATGATAATTAATTTCCATTCAATATTACTTTATGGCGAAAGTCAAATTTTCTAAAACTCAAAGACAGCTATGAAGGATTTTTCCCAAACAAAATATGACTAATGACATTTTGTTCATTATATCATATTCAAATAGACGTAGGCGTATAGTAACCATTAATTTGAATTTCAATAATTGACAATGATAATTAAGCAATTATTATATTCATTTAGAGGTCTAAATGCTCATAATTTTTTATTTGTTTTTTGTTGGTAATATTTAAACGAACAAAAAACATTTTATGATATCATTTGTTTTTCAATTGCACAATTATTGTGAAATTATTTTTATATATTTAATTTAATATCTAATCTAAATGTATTTTGTTCTAATTTTGAACATATTAATCAAACGTGTGCACATTATTTACATAAAATATATTACACATTGTATTTGTTGAGTAAAAAACAATACCTAATTATAATAATTTAATATTAAGACAGGATGAATTAAAACGCAACAATATAATAAATTTGTAATTAGATACTATTTCTGGTACATGTGAGCAAATTGTAATTTAATATTGAAATAATTTTATTCTAGATATGGATATGCACTGGAAAATAAAATAACGTAAAACATTAGGACCTATAGAAATATACATCTAAGGCGTATATTATTTTATTTTTCAATAAAACTATTAAATTTATGAAAACCATGTTTTATATTCGTGAATATATACATAGAATTGTATTTATTCGTAATTGTACGTATAAAAATATAGACGTTATGTAACCAGATAATATTAAAAATGCAGTAATTACTAATGAATGATAAATTATTTAGTATTCTATTTCAACATTCGTATATCATAGCAGCAATGATGAATATGGCTCAAAATTAATTAATTACATTATAATGTTATAATATGACAATATGTGATTTATGTTCATAAGATGATATACAGTATGAAAAAGACCTTGAAGACAATAAATATTTCTTGTTACACATTAAAAACTATTATTAATAAATTAAAAAAATTAATACTTGTGTCATATATTTATATAAAACAAATAACAATTAGACATACGACTTCTTTAGATAAACAAAATCGATGTCAATTTCAATTTCACGCATTCATTGTTAAATAATATATACATTATACATGGAAAGAAATTTAATTAGACCGAAAAATGGAACAGATAATATTTGTTGCAATTAATAACTGACAATATAATTGATATTACTAATATATAATAAAATTTATTATACAAAACAAATATAACCATTTTGTGCATTTTTCTTTTATAGTTCACAATTTGTAGTAATTATAATTTACTAATTATCGTTGCCCAATATTTCTCTAAATAATACAATAATTTGTGTTTAATTGATATTATTATATGAACTCCAACTATGAACAGAGGAAAAAAGAAGAAAAGTTGTTACAA